ATGTTGGATCGTGTTCATCATATCTGTTTACGCCGTTGTCTACCGTCGTTGTCATTTTGAACAAAACTGGAATTTCTGTACGTACATTTAAGATATTGATTGAATAAAACTCTTAAACCAGTGGTAGTATTAACGTGTATCTGTGTAAGCCACACGCTGCTTTCCTCACAACTATTACTCGACAGTTTCACCGATTACGCGGAGAAACGAGGAAATGCACCACGCACAAGTAGGAGTAGGAGACGCGGCTGACAATTTTTTTCGCAGGAAAACAAAACTGTCATTCTTCATAAAAATAAACACGGAATTTGGGGTATTTTTTGTAAAGGGAGCTGAACGATCAGTGTACAAACGGGACTATTGCCAAGTTCTTCCAAACAGTGCTTTCAGACCCAAACCGGTAACAGGACCATCCTTTACTACAGTACTGGCAGCGTATAAGCGACTCTGATAATTCAATACGCTGTTGCCTCACAATTACTACGCACATGGCTCAATCTACATCACAGATAAATTACATCTCAAAACATCAACAATGACAGGCTATGTCACGTCTCGATATCGTGTTCATAGCTTCCGCAAAAACAGAATCTTACCACCTCCGCGACTTCCTGTGAGTCAGATGAACAGCGACGCTGAACCCTGGCTGTAACCAGGGTCAAATCAAGTAATCAAATCCTCGCTGATTGCTTCAGAGCAGATCACATGACGTACCACATCACATGGCAAGAAAACTGCCAGAGTCGCTTATACGCTGCCGCTACTGAAGTATAGGACGGTCGTTCAGTCGTTCTCGCCGAGACATTGATCATCAGCGTCTGACAATATTACGTAAGGAAAGGAAGGGATATTGGCAATAATGGCAAAACCGCACTCGCTTGGCGCATCCTTGAAGCTTGCAATTTCGTGACGCAAACTATAATACAATCAACATGATGTGATTGGGGGGATAATACTATTTTGAGACTGAACTATAGAAGGGGTTTGTCAGATTTCACCTGAGTTATTAGTGGGCTGTAAGAAACTTAGATGACTTAGAAACTTGGTTGACAAGTCAATTTTAGAAACAACTCCAAGATGAGAGAATTTATGTATGTTTGTGAATCAAAAAGTAAGTTGCTGGTCGCATCACAAACACGACATTATTTCATTAAGTTTTCGTGACAAATTTCATATCCCTGTAGTAACAACAGTTATACAGATTATCCGGAAGCTCCGGTTACAAAAATACCCTAGATTCTCTGTCGAATTTTATGAAGAATGGCAGGACCAATTTTTACGAAGAAAATATTGTCTTCAAGAAAAGTGGGTTTTTAAGTCACTTCAGGACCAGAAATACAAATCGGACACCAGACACTCCGGCTTCCCTGAGCGAGTAAAGTTAATATATAATTAAATGTAATTACCATAATATAAAATAAACGCAGAACACGACCCAAGACTTTCCTGCAGTCTATTATAAATATCATGACACATCTCTTACATCAACATCTGGATGCCCGTCACCGGGGATTCAGACGAAAAAGAAAAGACGAAAATTCACGCTAGGCCCACCCCCAACATAACTCATCGTCACAAACCCGGACACGAGCGAAGAAGAGCAGCGGAACGTAAGAAGAAACCGAAGGAAGAAAATGGCCGCCGCTACTGACTTAGGAAGCGAAGACTACGAAGATAGAAACAAAGACACCACTGCAGAAAAGTACACAACTCCTGGGAGTGGACCAAAAAGTCGCAGAACGAGACTGAAAACTACCCAACACGCCAACGATAACCAGCAAAAGCGAGGCCGCAGCAGCGGGCGGTAAAAACCCCCGCCGCTCCCTGTCGGCCTATTGGTGTAGTCTTCCCCCCTTCCCACAACCGAGGTGTTTAAGGAACAAACAAAGCTGTAGCATGCAAAACAAGCCGAGCGACTCCAGCCTAATACATGACCGGCCCAGGCACACCAAACGAGACAGCAGATGGAAGCAAGAAGGCGCCGCCCAGACGGGCGGCCATACCCTCCCTACGCCTGTTGGTCGCCTGCAGGTGAAGGAAACGCCGGAGCCTGCACCTGCCGTGTATGAGGCGACGCCCAGAAGCGACCACAGAGCCACGTCCCCGCTGCCCGAGAACATCGCTCCAGTAGCTCACCAGGTGAGCGGGTGAGTACCAGTTCCCGAAACGTGCTCCTGCTTACCCCAATAACCCCTGCCCCACTCAACAGTCCCGCAGTTCTAATTGAGGTATCCCCGACCAAGCTGCAGTACACCACAGGAAGAATGCCCCACCGTGGGCAATGGCGCCAGTCGCCCAACCACGTGGATTACAATAGACGAAATATCAGAAAATGGGTTCCCGGTACCAGTAGGCTTAAATGGAAGCGGTCTGCACCCACAACGTTCGCCTACACCATCCTCAAACCGCCGGGCAGTCAGGTATATGTCAGACTCAAGCCATTTAAGTACAGAAGAGATCCCAAATTTTCGCAGCATAAGTCACTAATAACATTTTTTTCTTTGTTTTAAGGATGGCTCACCGGCGCTAGCTAGAAGAAAGTCAATTCTGCTAAACCCGGTATAAATATGTGGAAATTCGGTTACCGGATTGGTGAATACTAAGAGCTAACAGGGTGGAGCCGCCACGTACGGTTTGTGACTGCTAAGTCGGCTTGTCACCAACCATAACACAAAAGGATGTATTTAAAATAACGTTTTGGAAGGATAGGGAGAAATTCCCCCTTAATTCCTCAGAGTACAAGGTTCGCTGAATGACGTACCTCCAAGGTGTCGTAGACGTTTCCTATATCATATAGTACGGCCCCAAAGTGTTGTCTGAAGACGAAAGTCGTAGAAAATTATCGCCAAAGCAACGGCATTGTCCAGAATTGACCGGTGCTTTCTGAACCCGTACTGGATTTGGGTGAGCTAATTTCTGCACTCCAAAGTCCAGACCAAACGCTGATTTACCATGCGTTTCAGCACAGCAAACGCAGCTGGTAAGAGAGAATGGTAGCTCGAAGGCAACGATCGATCCTTTCCTTCTCTTAGAACTGGGATAACGATGGCTTCTCGCCATAGCGCAGGGATGGCGTGCTCTTCCCCAGATGTAATTATAAAGGCGGAGATATTGCATTGTAGTTCCAGAAATATGCTATAGCATTTGTTTGTGGATTCCATCAACACCAGGGCCCGTTCTTTTCGCTAACGCAAGAGCAGAGCGCATTTCCGGTATGGAGCATGAGGTGTTATAATCGTCAGTCACTCTGCAAGAAAATTCCAATGGACAATTCTCCATTCTCTATAACGAAAAGAAAGTCTGGAGTGTAGTCCGCCGAATTCGGCATTTTTTCGTAGTGACCGGCGAGTTTCTCTTCAATCACATCTCGAGAAGTGAATGGTAACGTCCAGTTTTAGAGAGACCTGGTGCCGAATATCGACCAGTGAGCACATTGCACGATCCACTGAGGGGGTCGAGCAAACCCACCTAGTTGATCAATATGGACAATGGTAATGAAATGGTCGCTTCCATACAGGTCTTCTAATATGTTCCACTAGCATTGCGGTTACAAGGACTGCGAAAGACTACACCAATATCTGTGCTTGAATTTATTGCTATGGTGAAATGTGTTGGTTTACGTGTATTTAGTATCTCTATGTTGGTGATATCGATGGCTAATTCCAAAACGACGTCCCTACGACAAGTACGGGGAAAATCCCAAAGAGGACTGTGGGCGTTTACATCATCAATCACGAAGGGTGTGAACAGATGGTTTGTCAGGCCACAGGTCGCTACTATTTGTTCTGAAGGGATGTAAATATTACATACATTGGGCGTGAAGGATGGAAGGCACACCAATTGTTTGAAGGCCGATCTGAATTGGAACATCTATAGAAAGCAGCGAGTCAAAGTAGCAACCCCGCCATGTGAGCGGAGTCCGTCATCACTCAGGAGGGGTAGAACCGAGGAAGGATATGGAGTGTGTTGGAACTAAATAAGTCTTCTATAAACATTGTTGAAGGCGAGTAACGGGACAAGAGTTTCAGTTCGATCCGTCGAGAGGAAAAAAAAAACATTTGAATTCCAGGATATAAGAGCTTTACTGTGTGTAGTTAGGTATTTCTCTTTCCCTTTTCCCCTGCTGCTGACTGAAGAGGCGAGTGTCCACCCCGGCTAACGTTTCCTCCGAGGCAGAGTCCTGACCACCGCGGAACACGTTCAATGACCGCTCAGGGCGAGTCTCAGAAATCGGAGTGGGTGGTTGGCAGAGTGGGCATTTCGATGTGGGTCCACGATGGATGGTCCATTGTCACATATCTTCATGCGGGGCTGAATAGTAGTGGATCGATTGTTTGACTTTGAAGGCTGAGTAGCTTTCTTGGCCTGATCATTTAATTCCTTGGGAAGTACTATTTTCCCACCTTGCAGGGTAACGTTTCCTCACAAGAGACAATTCATGACTTGCTCGAAGATTTATCCCCCTTTTCGTTACCAGGGCCCGGCAATAAGAGTTTTCTATCAAAAAATCGCCGATTTCCGGAGCACGAATATAATACTTTCACTTTTTGTGAAGGTCAGAGATAAACATAAATAAGCATTATTAATGAATTTTTCTACAAAATAACCAAATCATGCCAACGAGCAGGAAAAAAGTATATATTTTTAAAATGAGTATGCACGACACACACATTAACAAAATTTGAGAGTTGTACTAAGCTTACATAAAAACACATATATGCATAGAAATCCTGCCACAACTTATCAAATCCACACAACTCTTCAGCTGACTAGAAACCTACATGAAAAACCAAAAATTCCAAGGATGGAATTCTTAATGAAACAGTAAAAGTATGGCCTTGATTTCAGGGATAGCTCTTAGGATGGTATTAGCACTACCGTGAGTCAACCTCAAAGTGTTTCATTTGACAGCCAACACATTTGAACTAAGCGCATATAAAGCCCACAATCTTTGCCTATTCAAACTTAGTAAGAACATCGGTATAAATGAAAGTCAGGCATTTGTTTAACTGATCTATATATTTAATAAAGATATACATAAACCGTCACAAAGAGAAGGGAACAAAATTATCATACAAATACCTACATAATGTAGCTGTATTTTTAACCGGACAAAAATATTACAAAACCTACAAGGATATTACATAATTGATGTTATCACAAGAAACTAGCTTCTTAAAAAAATGGCATGTTATACCAATTAACAAAGCTGGTGACAAATCAAAAATATTTATAACAGAGCATGAGAACAATTAATTTTGTATGACAACTTTCAGTGTTCAAATACACTATTAAAAATACAATCGGTCTGTTGTATGTACTTTTGATTTCCTGAAAATACCCAACAAATATATCTCCTGAAAAGAAATACATATATCAAAATCATGTATCACTTTGTAATACAAGCACTATAACACACACAACATCAAACATACATGTTGTAATGAAAATGAAGTGTTTAGATTTCCATATAAGGTTGGATCAAACAGATAAATAAGAGGTATTGTTATTTTTACAATAATAAGAATAGCAGAAATGAATAATAGCTAACGATGCTGATGATTACTAAAACTTTTGATACAAATAACATGTTTCATAATTTCAAATTATATTGGAATCTGAACAAAAGTGAGCACATATTTTGGAATATTCCAACTGTTAATATGTGCACTGCAACATTCCAAATTTTTACTCAACAAATCAGAGCCAACAGCCAAATGATTTCCAACTATCATTCACACAAGTCCAGTACCAGCTGTGCATGAGCACATATTATACATCCTACTGAATCACACTTGTATCAACGCTCAACAAGAACACAAAAGTAAATCCTCCAATTAATTATTCAAAGCTATCACATGAAACATATCCTGAGCTACCAAGGAATGCAAGAAATTTTTGTCATATGACAGGAACAGGAAAGTGTTGAAGGCAATAATGAGAGCTGGTTGATGTCTCTTATTTACAAATATTTGCTTCCTTGTTAATCAAGTAACAAAAACAAAGCACATAAATTTGCACCAAGTCTGTTTAACGGTTGATAATATCTAAATATAATTATAATGTAGATAACTTTGATAGTTTCCCAATAGTCATTTCTGCACTGCAGAAATATATACAAGGTGTAATTATTGTGTACATACACTTATAAATGTGCTATACAAATATCATCATAAATTTTGTAATTTTATTACAATATACAACTTATTCTGTACAGTAAACCGTAATACTGGAGATGTAGCTCAATCCCCCATAGTAACTATATTATGGCTAAATGCCACTCACTTTGGGACCACCCTTGTGATACACCACGTTACGAATGAAACAGTAAAATTTATTTTTTCATCTCCACAGTGAACAAGATGGTATAAAAATACAACAGAACTATTGTGAAAACAGAAAAGATTTTCACCGACACAGAAACTCAAAAGAAATGGAACGTTTCATCTACAGGAAAGCCAATACATCAGAGATACAAGAAAATAAATTTTTGCTACGTTCCACACGTAAGGTGATGTTGCAGTTTGTAACCAGTATACAACGTAAAAAGTGATGCATACTGCCCTTAGCAAGCACACATCCTGAGAAATTCATGAACTCAAGTCTTTTGACTCTGAGTAGGGAGTGAGGTCTGGAGCCCAGTTATGTATAGTACTACAAATAGTTTACATTAGAAGAAAGAACTCGCAGGAGAGATTCATGATGCTTTAGAACTTAATTATCATTTCAATGTGGTACACTCTACAAACATTATATACAGTACAATTAAGTTCAACATAAAATGATATACATAAAACACATTCTGAATTCTCAACAGAATTTTTGAAACCTATAAATATTTTTATAAAATTACACTTAATACCTACAAACGTACATATTCATAGGTTCATAAACTTAATTAAATACTATTATTATGTAATACATTGAACTGAGTTCAGGCTTCAACATCTACTAGTAATGGAAAAAATTTAATAATATTTCTAAGTTCTTTCCTTTTCAACAGTTTGGCACTGTGTAAATGAATACTGCTAAGAAATATATCAGTAACTTATTTCAGCATTCCCTATATATTCAGCTACCTATGTTAAAAACACTTCAGTAACGGGACATGCTATAACTTTTACAATAGGAGCTACAAATGAATAGAATTTACTACGCACCAAATAAAGCAATAACATAATAATAATAAAAGCAATTAATGATACTATTTTGGGATAAAATGAATAACAAGTATGAGCATCATAACGTTGGCGGCTAAAGTATGACTAAAATGTGAATAAACATTTTCTGAATATTCCATAGCAGAGTTTTCAGTAATAAATTCAACCAATTTTTCATGCAGAAGAGAATGATAGAAGTTTTCAGTTTATCAAAGTCCCATTAATGAATGCATGCACAACAATCAGTTCTGCATTTTGAGTTGTTATAACTCCTGCAGCTAACTTCGAAGCAGCAAGAGTAGTTTTTGCAACATGTATTGCTACTTCACATGAGAATGTGAAAACAAAAGTTACAATACAGTATGATCAAGAACCTCTATGATGATTAAATTTAGCATATCTAGACAATATAAATAATAATTTTAATAACCAAAAATTTGGACCAAAACTTTCAGAATTTCAAAAAGACGTGAAAAACTGAATACAAAAGAAACCTTGTACAACAATGTAAATCAACATTCTTTTTAAAATTATGCATATAAAAAAAATTAATAACAAAAATTTAGAAGAGTTTTGAAGTCAGTTTCATAATTTCAATGTAACTGAACATTTAGGAATATAAATGCCAGAAAATGATTGATAAATATGAACTCAACTAAAGCATCAGATGCCTCTATGTCAACCTACTGATGTTCTACATCTAGGTATTATTTGTTTTAGTGCCTCTTGGTCACGTAGTTGCTCCACAATTGCATTTGTAATTATATTAACTAGATTAATGTGAAAACTGACAGGCACTAAAACTAACTAAAAAGTGCATGTGAAAGTAATTGCAATTTATTTAATGCACCTATACAATTAATGAAACAAAGTCTCTGCTATGAAAAAATACATTATAATATTTAATATTTCAAATAATAACAAGATTAATAATATATATAATCATTGAAAAGGAAGGCCTTTCAATAAGAGTACCTAAAACAAAACAGCTCCCATCTATAGTTCCTGGAATGCAGAATAACATGGGCTCTGTGCATAGGTGGAACTCAAAAAGGACATCAGTCGTCTTCGAGTAGCCTACACAATTTGAACTAGCATTCTGAGCTTGGTGGTGGAGCTGCATACCGATACCTTGGATCTGGATCACCATCACAGATGTATTTCCCTGTACAGAGAAAAGGATTGTGGGACACTGATTTCTGCATCAGGTGAGGATAATAAAAATTTGAATATTTAAGCATTGTATTACTAAACCACAAAAAGATACACAATTTAAAATGAAAAATGACTCCTAAAAATATTAATAATGGTGAAGAGAGGATTAAAACAATGAAGACTACAGTGATTGGAGAAAAGTGGAAGCTGGAATGCGAGACACCCTAGGGTGTAATATAATTTGCCATTTTAATATTACTGCTACTACTGTAAGAACTAGACTTCAAACATCATTGATTTTGGATTTATTACACACAAAGAAAATATAAAAATTTTCTCAAGTAAATTCTTGAAAACAATTTATGAAATAGAGAAAGGGGCTACGTGCAACATTTCATCCATTGAAATTTATTTAGTGTGAAAATAGTAAAAACATGCGAAAAGCAATGCATTATCTTCACTTCTTACCAGGAAACAATGCCAGTAATGTAATCACAGAAATCAGTTTAATGATGTTCATTCTAGAGAGCATAGTCCACATGATTTTTGACCAAAAATCATTTGCTCTCATCTGTCTGTTCGCGAGATGTTTATGTTTATGTTTGAGTAAAATTGTAGGGGAGTGAAAAGGGATTAAAAGGAAGGAAGTCGATAAAACTCAGTCAAAACATATTAAAACACAGTACACTTGCTGCTTGCCTACTAACCAGTAAGTCATGTCAATCTCATTTTAGGTTTTGTATGAAACGTGGTTAACTGAGAAAGTTTCTTATTAATTCTCTACTAGTGTGTTCTAAAGAAATAGGCCACTATTACCTTAAGGAAAGAAAATGACAAGAGTGCAGAAGAACTATACCTGTACAATGAAATGAAACTAAAATGTAAGGATTTCATAAGTGACAAAGGAAATGTACATTTTATTAATCAGAATAATATTTTGTTTTTGAGCGTAACTTAACCTCACTGTCTATTACGACTAATGAATGCAATGATAGCATCAATGTATGCGCAGATAGAATTGATGAATGCGATCATAGTATTGATGAATGCAATGATACAGAAAGGCTTTGTAATTGATGAGTATAGAGAGATTGATGATATCTCAATGGAGATAAAGTTTTAGAAGGCAGCGAAGCAAAGATCAACTTTTTGTGCTAAAGTTGGAAAAATATAAGAACTAATATCTCATGAATGGCAGAAGAGGGCAATTGATTTAAACATATATATAAACACGTGTATTTAACTATGCTCCTTTGGATTTTATTTCTAATTACCAAAAGGCACAGTTTCCAGGTAAGAATTGGTATCACAATTAAGAGGCTCAGTGCGATGCAATTAAATATCATGACGTGTCTCTAATGACAAAAGCAAATGAAAGTTCTATTACCTTGAAGCAAGACAAAAGTCTGCAATTTTATTTTATAATAAATAAGCTTATTGTAAATAATTTGATAAAAAACAACAATAAACAAACACATTGTGTGTGCACACACACTGCATTCAATATTCTTTCAACTTACCAGAGACAAACCGCCGTTTGACCAGTGACAAACGATATCCAGTACCAACAAGTTCAAATTCCAGTCCAGAAAGTGTAGTTCCTTCACAGTTGAATTGAGTAGATAATGTGGTTGGTGTACTGGGTCCTTCATTTAGTTCCATACGAGCACGGAGGGATCCCACACCATGATTTTCGCTATGCTGTGACAGCTCTGTGAACTTCCACAAGGCACGATGGCTGTCTTGCAACCTTCGACAAGATAATAAAATTAAGAGAAGTACTATCCACAGCTATCATAGAAACAATTTAGCCAAGCAATTAAAGTAAATGGTTATAAAAGCAGCAGAAGCCAAGAACAAGACAATTTTCTAGTTATTAATGCTATTTGCAATTTTATTGTGACTGTGAATAAAGATTATGTTAAAAATAAAAATAATCTCAGGAAGCCTCTTCAAAATGAGGGGTTCATCTCATAGTCAGGTAAATATGTTATACAGTAGAATTTCATTAGCATGATCCCCATTACATTTTTCTGTGAGCACATTCTTCAATGTGTGTTGTTTCCAGGGGTACTTGAATGTACCATATAAATTAGAGGTCCCCCCCCCCCCCACACACACACACAGGTATATTCAGGGTACTTTCAGTCCACTTGATTCTAAGTCTAGAGCCAAAGAATTGTGATCTCCTGTTCCTCCCACGCCTTTTGTTCTTTTTACATATATTGTTACCATGCAGGTCTCTGAATTTGATAGATAAGAATACAAAAGTTCTCGGTTCTCTTTTATGTTCACAGGGTGGCCACTCATTTCCAGGAATAACTTACTGTAACTCTTCCTGGAATTCCAGTGCGTCACATTATTTATATATAAAAAAAAATTAAAAGTAAGCATGGTACTAATTTGTCAGCTCTTTGATTTCACTACAATAAAGTGAAAATTAAAAAACCCTCTAGAAATGAAAACTGAATCACTAATTTTTCTTACTAATGATATCTAGTTGTATAACAATCTATCTTATGTGTTTGTGTTATTTATGCATATATTGGTTCCTATTCCCCAGTATTGTGTTCTGGAGAAAATGACAAAATGAGAATTATTCAATAATGTTTATTCTGGCTTACAATGTTCAATATTTTCAGCCCCTTGATAAACGTTTCCACTGTATGCTTTCAACATTAAAAGCACTCATAGCTTGTTGTATATTATTTATAAACAAAATTATAATAATGATGATCATCATCATTGGAGAGTATGAACGAGTGTGTGAAAGGAGAGCGAGCGAGCGTGAACAAGTGTCAGAGAGCAAGCACACATAAACGAATGAGTGAGAGAGCAAGCATGTGTGAGAAGAGAGCAAGCGAGAGCGAACGCATGGAAATGAGAGGAAAAAAGCGTGATTGAGTGCGAGAAGAAAAAAGAAGAGTGAGTGCGAGAAGAAAAAAAAGAAGAGTGTGTGCGAGAGGAAAAAAAGAAGAGTGTGTGCGAGAGGAAAAAAGAATGAGTGAGAGTGAGAGGAAAAAAGAATGAGTGAGAGTGAGAGGAAAAAAAGGAAGACGAGAATGTGAATTCTTACCACTGTGCAGTAGGCTTTGACTGGATACTTTTGACAGTCCCATCTAGTGGTACTGCAACAGTTAAGTTGAGCAAAGGTGATGGAGATGCCATAGCATGGCTGTTGTACTTGTAGTCCACACGCAAGTCAGTATGTGTGCATTCGCATTTCCAATACGCGACAAGTTGGAAAGGACAAGATCCCGCACCAATTTTTGGTTTGATCTGTGAAACAATGTATAATTTTATAAATTTTTTACAAGAACTTTGTAAGACATGTGTATCTTATCTTGTTTGCTGCTGCCATTACTTAATAAATAAATTAAAAAACTAAAAGACATAATTAAGAATGGCATGCCAATAATTACATCATAATTTTACATTATTCTGATAAATTGTCAGTGCATTGGTGAATTTAACAGAAGCAACTGAATTACATGAAATATCCCTTTCAAAAGTGCAGTTTGGAACTTTGACAGTGCTGGTGCTGCCTTGCATGGAGGGGTATACGCCAATGTACGTGCTGAAATCAACTTCGTAAAGAAAGCGCAGTTTGGAATTTGGACAGTGCTGGTGCTGCATTGCACGTGCTGAAATCAACCTGTTCATGCAAGTGGCCACTAAATGGAGGTTAAGAGTATTCGGAAAGGGCACATCAGGCCTAATTTTGCTGATTGTAACTAAGTTAAATAAGCCTCTTGAGATTATACTGGGAAAGGTATCCTTTATTTTTAATGATAATAAATTCACTCACTGTCATGTTCAATTGTGGGAGGGTATGTTCAGTTGCTCATTGGGGTCACGACAATATCTGGGGGCACTATTATCACAAATGAAATATTCCTCTAAAGTTATTATTAGCACCTGAAGAGGCAATCAAACAGATTGCAAAACATGTTTGAATGACAAGTACAAATGAATAGTTTTTTAAATTGAAAATGTGTACTTTATTGTTAATAAAAGATACCTCTCCCATTATAATCTTAAGACCATTATTTAATACATATTGTTAATATAAAGAAATAAATATAACAATAAAACAGTAATTTTCAGGTACACTTAATTTATACAATATATCAAAGAATATCACACATTATCATAACCTTCACTATTTAAAGGTACAGAGTATCAGGAATTGTCAAGCTACACAATGCAGACAGTTTGAATCACAAACTCCTATTCACATTAAGTTTACTTGACTATAAAAAAAAAAGTGACACAAACCTGGTATTTCAGAATGTCAACATTGAAGTATGATGCTGAAGGGTTCTGTTCAGATTGTCTTCTCAGAAGTCCAGTTAAGGCACTCATGTTAAACTCAAAAACTATGTTATCATTACCTAAATGCGAAGAATCACTGAAATGAGAAAACACATTTTCAGTAACTTTTACCTAATTACAATGTAATTTATGCACATAGGTGAATACTTACAAAGATACTAGCTGTTTATTGGGCAACATATTCTCTAGACGCTGAGAATTGCGTATACGGAAGGATAACTGAGCAGGGCTGGGATTGTTAGCCAAAACAGCAACAATGCCAGCAGGGAAAGAAAGCATCATGTCTCCAGAGAGTTTCACTTGACACCTAATGAAAAGTGAAAGAAAGTACATAACAAATCAAGATTAATTTGTTTATATCTCGTTATGCCTTAGATTGACAGTGGGAAGAAAACAAGGGAGAAAAAAAAGAAAAAGACAAAGAACATAGAGGGAAAGAGAGGAGGGAGAAAGTAAGGAGGGAAGGGGAGGTCAGGAAATGAGGATTTAAAGGAAAATGGGAGAAGGAGAAAGAAGAAAAAATGAATGAAAAATTGGAAGACATGAGGTCAGAAAATGAAGAAATAAAAACAGCAAGGTAAGCCAAGACTTTGTTTTAATTATGATGATTGAATTGACAGCAATACCAACACAAAAGGAAGAAAGGAAAGGAATTTTACACAAGTCTAGTTACATGAAGCAAACCAAAACAAACAACAACAAATTACAAGCTTCACAAAGTAGAAACTCACTTTGTTTCATCAGTTCCTCTGAAGTAGGAATGCACTATTTCATGAAATGCAACAGCCAGTGGGATTGTATCTGCAATGCCTATAGTCAGAGGAGAAGGTCCACGAGATGAGCCTACAGGCACACCTGCAGCACGAAACTCCAGACTGCCTACGCTGTCGGTACGTGCCATTGGTGCTGGGCTCATGCGCCCACGAGATGCAGGACCCTTACACACAATATTGCATTTGAAATTCATTTGCATGAATAACATTCATATTCTAAAGCAGAACACTTCAAAAAAAATACTGATTAGTGCCAGGTCAATTTTTAAAAAGGAAAGAATAAAACAAAAACAGATGGAGAGAGCTGCATCCTGAGGGTAGAACAATCAAGTTTTGGCATTAAGCTTACTGGTCTCAAAACGAGTAATGAGAGAGACTGGTGAGTGTGTTTCCTTGTAATGTTTCACATTTGGTGGAGGTCCTCCTATAGTAACTTCTGCCCTACCTAACAGTACACAAGAGGTGGGTCACACACAACCAATGGTAATCAATGCCTTCCCCATAGTCTGCAAAGATGTGTGAAAACCATGAAGAATTACTTGGAAGTGTATGTTGTTAATAATGAAGTTTCCTTTTAGGCCTAATAAACCAACAATTTCTTCTTACGCATCTTTCAATTTCCCCACTTATTTGCTCCTGTGCCAGGAATCTATTTGGTATTAGCATTGTGAAGAACATTCATTCCAGTGACCTTGAATTCCATACAGTGAATTTCTATTCCTGTAATAATGGCTGATAAAATATATAGTTTCCACGACTCATTGCAATTACCCTTGTTCTACAGGAAGCTCCAATTAAACAAATTTAACGGAGAATGAGCCAATTTGGATACACAGAAATTCTCATGATTAGATAAAGCTCCAAATTAAGTAAAAAATAAAACCAGCAGAAAAAAACTTCATTTTAATGAATGAAATTAAGTTGAACATACACAAGATAGAAGACCGAAAAATAAATTTTACATAAAAGGAGCAATGTCTGTCTATCAGTTACATAGTTTTTTCAATTTTGATACTTATTTTCCTTTTCTCTCTTAAAATTGATTCAGATAATATGAGTTCTCTAACTTTAAAATATATCATTTATGCAAATACACTCAATTTTATAAAGAATGTTTTCCCCACAATCTATAAGTCCTTACAGTAAAACCCTTCAGTCTCTCATATCTTGCACATAAATATCTGTGCATCAATAGTTTTCTTATTTGTACTTAGGCTGATTCCATTACTCAATAAGTCTGCAAGTGGTGTACCTGCAATTACTAGCATCGAAACAAAACTTTCTCAATCCCACAAAAAGTAATTTACAACTGTGACCACATCTTTTCTAAGTAAACTTTATTCATCATTGCATTTTTACAACTATTTCTTAAACACACAAGCCAATTATTTCATAACTTTCATTTTGGGCTGTTGAACTTTGCCACTCCCGAAATGAATTTCAATGATAAGACAACACATTTGACTTTACAATTTTCCTCATATTAAAAACATGTTATTTAAAGAAGAAATTGGTATTATCTACACTTTTATCACAAGTAAGAAAAGAAGAGCTTACCTCACCTCGCCGAGATGGAGGTCTGGGAATAGCAATGGTACCTTGGGTAGGAGTTGGTGTCTGCCTTGACTGCTTGGGAGGTAGAGTAGGCTGTATTTCGCCAACTTCAGAAAATAAATCTCCCAGATCTGTAACAAGAAATTCACTAATGAGCTCAAACTTCTATGGATGAAAAACTGTACAATTTCTAAAATTATTTACATTGCATATCATGAAATAAAGCATGAGTACATAGGAACAATTAAAATTGATATCCATTGATTGAGTTAAACTTTTTCACAATGAATATTAATATGAAAAACAAATAAGATTCTTATTAACATTTTCTGTCATTATCATTTTTAAATTAGTCAGACTGTATTTGGTCCTTAATTTATAACTTCCCATAATGTGAATTTCCAGGAAATAAAAATTTAAGACCATGAAAATTTTTTTATCCTAGATTAATATTACAAACCCTACATATCAAAACTTATTGTTTGAATACACAGGTAGAATCAAATAAATTTACCAATTTATATGATGGATTACTGAATACTTTTTCTCAAAATTAAGATATTTCTTTCTTTTAGTCTTACTTTATTATGTAATGTCCCTCTCAAACTATCTTCATCATTTCATACCATACGATACCACTGACACCATTTTGTGAACAAATTTTTTTATCAAGGTGCGTTCTGTTGTGACTTGTGTACATTAGTTCAAGTTAATTCTTTTGTTAAAATCTGCCCATCTGCCCATTGTTTAAAATATTATATTAATCATGTTTTTGACATTGCCTGAAAGTGGAAATAATTAATTTACAAAACTTTATTATGCCTAACATGTAACATTGATACAAAGCAGTTATAATATTTTCTGTCTTTAAAATTAAGGACCAAATACAGTTTAATTTGAAAAGCACACAACTTTAACTAACTCTAATTAAAGACTTTCTCTAGAGCAGATGGAAATTGTTAATGTACAAAAGAGAAATTCTGCCTGCACTTTTGATCAATAACACAATGCATCACAACTAACTGAATTTACATTGTAAATGTAATACATACTAATATGCACATTGTATCGTAAAATTAATTCATCATATTTAATAAACATGGGAATGTACACTGAAGAGCCAAAAAAAAAACAAAAACAAAACTGGTACACCTGCCTAATTTTGCGTAGGGCTTCCACGAGCCCACAGAAGTGCCGCAACATGAAGTGGCATGGACTCAATTAATGTCAGACGTGGTGCTGGAGGTAATTGACTCGATGAGTTCTACAGGGCAGTCCATAAAATCGTAAGAGTACGAGGGGGGATGGAGATCTCTTCTCAACAGCACATTGCAGGGCATCCCAGATATGCTCAATAATGTTCATGTCCAGGGATTTTGGTGGCCAGTGGAAGCCACTCTGTAGCACTTCTGGATGTGTGGGCTGTCGCATTGTCCTGCTGGAATTGTTCAAGTCAGTCACGACACGCAATGGACATGAATGGGTGCAGGTGATCAGACAGGATGCTTACATACATGTCACCTGTCAGTTGTATCTAGACATATCAGGGGTCCCATATCACTCCAACTGCACACTCCATCCCATCACAGAGCCTCCACCAGCTTGAACAGTCCCCTGTTCACATTCAGGGCCCATGGATTCATGAGGATGTCGTCATATTTGTACACGTCCGTCCGCTTGAAACAATGTGAAACGAGACTTCACTGGAAACTCGTTGGCTGGCCTGACATCAACAGTCCAATATCGGTGTTGAGGGGTCCAGGCGAAGCGTAAAGCGTTTGTGTCGTGTAATCATCAAGGATACACGTGTGGTCTTTCGGCGCCGAAACCCCATATCGGTAATGTGTCGTTGAATGGTTTGCACGTTGACACGTTGTTGGCACAGCATTGAAATCTACAGCAACTTGCGGAAGGGTTACACTTCTGTCACGTGTAATGATTCTCCTCGGTCGTCGTCGGCCCCTTGCACGATCTTTTTATGACCGCAGTGATGCCGGAAGTTCGATGTTTTCCTGAATTCTCGATATTCACGGAACATTCCTGAAACGGTCGTACGGGAAAATCCAAATTTCATAGCGACCTCGGAGATGCTAAGCTCCATCTTTCTTGCGCCGAATATAACACCACGTTCAAACTCACTTAAATCGTGATAAGCAGCCATTGTAGCAGCAGTACAACTGTGCCAGACTGGTTGTCTAGTACAGTCGTTGCCGATCGGAGCGCCGTATTCCGATTGGTTCAAGATCTTTTTATTTTAAAACGCTTGTTGCAATAACAGTTTTTTGGCTCTTCAGCATATAATATACACAATAATTACAATCAATTTCAAGACAAAACAATGTCAACAATTATAATACAATATACAGTGTATTCAGAGTTTCTCTGCAGTGACTTCTCCATCAATATAATCTATTCTATAGGGAAATATTGCGTTGTGCTCTGTCAAATTCCTCTGTCTTTGTTATTCTCGTTGCCTAAGACGAACAAACACAGATTGCCACTAAAGAACGGTTCTGGGAAATTAGGTTCATGTAGCAGGGATACCTCATCACTTCATCGAACATGACATTCTAGTCTCAAACTATTTTTTTCAGTCTTCCAGGCAAAGAATGCTTCTGTTTTGTTTTCATAATACTAATTTCCAGATAATGAACAATAGAGGTTTAAGGCTTAAAGTCACAAGACATTTTCCCATTTCAGGTGGCTTTGTTTGCAAGATTTTCAGCACAATACCTACAGGTTCATTATCAGGAACACATGAAATGCTACTTGATTTGCAACTAAAATCACAATTTAGGCACACAGCATTACACTGACGGAAGAATGGAAAGGGGTGTCAGAAGTAAGTGACCCAGACCCATGACACCATGAATCAAGCTCGCAGGGAAGTTGTGGACTCGAGCAAAAATGTCTTCCCTTGCAATATTGCCATTTCCCAACTAAAGGGAGTGCAGTGGTGAAGCAGCCACCACAGAGACACATTTTGAACACACTGTATAAATTAAATAATAAAATGATATGAACATTTTCTTTTTAAACACGACATTAAACAAGTTTTCAAATATCCTTTCCAGAACAAATGACTGCATTAATGCTTTAGTTTGCAATACAAATATATAGAAGCAAAATAAAAAAATAAGTAAACAAATGGTTTAGTTCATAACCAAGAGTAACTAATAACTTATTTCTAATAAGTTTATTGTTTATGATAAACAATACTTGATATGAGGGTAACCACAAAAGTCACAATTATTTTATCTCACAAATAATATGAGTAATGCAAGAAATTTTAAATTACACCAAGGGAAGGTAATAATCAATATTAAATTTAATGCCACGACATCAACAATCCTTCAAAGTATTCTCCCAAACAATGCCCATGAAGGCATCGAACAGACTTGGTCTCCTCATGGGAAAATATCCCTCTCAGATCTCACTGCTAAGGCAAGATATTCAAAAGACCAAATGTGTACCCCACATACTAAGCTGAATCAGCCTGTCCAATCGCTATGGCTGAAGATGTCATATGTACACAAACATTTATGTCTCTGTGATTTACATGCTATTGGAGGTATTATTATACCAATAATTGATTTTTATCACTTTGTCTCTGCTTAAATATAATTCAGATCTCAATATTATTTAACACTGGTATATTAAATGTTAATATATATCATGACTTTCCAGTTGTGTAATGCATAAATCTCTAACCCGACCTGCATTATCGTGGAAAAGCTAGTTGCCATGGCAAGCATTGTTTATTTAACACAATTACTGATGAATAGGTTTTGGATTTTCCAATTAGGTACCAAAACTGGCATTATAATTTCCTAAAAAGGCGCTTTAAATTGATATGAAAATAACATTATAGAATAATTGTTATTTTACTTCAAACTTTTTTACCACAAATATCCACAACACTATTTTAAATTCCAATGCATGCAGAAATTTAAGAAAACGGCCTCCAGCCAAGTGAAGGTATCTGGTTTCATTTGATACACTGGAACTCGAAAAAATGAAAATCACAATGAAACCATTTAGATTATTACTGAAAAAATGCAAACATTTCATTATGTTACTCATACTCTTTTTCATAGCATGTGTATCAACTAAATTCTGCACCTGGAGCAGATTCTTTGGCTATTTGCCAACTGTGTGGTCGCTTGCTGGCACATGCCGCCGCCGCTGCCCCCATCACTGTACCCATGGTGGGGCTACTGAACTGGATGAGGGCATTGAACAATGACAGACGGGATGACCATTGGCTCCGGAATAAATACATTATTTACTAGTATTAGTTTCTTGCTAGGTGATCTGTGCACTGGCTGCATCACACACCGAATCGCTACATTTTATTGATATGAAGCCGAAGTTGTGTGTGTCTGCGCGAGAGTGAGTGTACGAGAGTGAGTGTACGAGAGTGAGTGTACGAGAGTGAGTGTACGAGAGCGAGTGTACGAGAGCGAGTGTACGAGAGCGAGTGTACGAGAGCGAGTGTACGAGA